GTCAGCAGCTTTAGTGATAGGGCCCCATTTCTAGCTCAGGAGGTCCGTTCCTTAGTACTATAGTCTTTAAAACTGTCTTCTGCCAGCTATGTTGGGGCCCGTAAGACGTTGCCATGCTTGTTGATGTTGGATGTTGTCACGGATCCACAGTCGTTGCCACCAACATGCGACAATCGCATGACCGTGACTAACAGTAACACGTCACGCCCACGGCGTCAGACCCCAAGTCTTCTCATCAAACTCGTGACCGAAGGACCGGCCGATCTAAAACCGCGGTGTGACGCGCGTAACAAGGCCCCACCCAGCTGCACCCTGCACAGCGATTGTGCAGCTAATGGGCTACAATCGGTGCCTGCAGCCTGAATGCGCTTGTTACTGGGTCAGGTTAATTACACCACTAACCCTTCACACTGTCACCACCATCTTGAAATGTACAGAGAAGACGGACTCTGTCAAAAATACACTATAATGATTGAAAGTCACCTGTCCAATATGGTAAATTGGGCAGGGAGTAAACAAACACAGTAGCGTCTCTTCAAAAGGCAGGAATTCGTGAATTGCAGGTAAGAGCTTAAAAAACAGTTTAACACTTTCAGAAAGAAAGATTTATTACTAAAAGAGTCAAACAGGTGCAATAAAATATTTACAAAGACATGTCACAAATATATATATATATATATGTATATAAAGACACAGCGAAGAGATAATTAGGAAGGAAATTACAGGGTTAAGTTACTTTCCCTTAGCCTGGGTTTGCAGATCCAAGTTGCAGAGCAGGATGATTCTTTATCTCCTCCTTCAATGTTAGCTGGGAGATCTGTTACAACTCTAACTCTCAGACTTGCTATCCTGTCTCTTTTAAAAATCCCCCCGGCAAGGGTGGGTGGCTCTGCGTCTGCCCAATACAATATGTTGGCCAGGATGTCAGTGGACTCTCAGTTAAAACTAACAGCTTCATAATCCATGACATGAAAGATACAGTTGACCTGAGGAATGTTCAATTCTCTTTTAAGTCCGGGAGAGAAGCTATTATCTGTTTTATGATGGGTGAAAAAAGGTTACACTTACACAAACGGCTGGCACCAAACTGGGGATGCTTAACCTGGGCTGACCCACACCATCTGTCAGGAGATAACATTTGCCTCTCAGGACTGGAGGGAGGTAGGGAGTGTGAGGAATACTTTCCCTAAAAGAAAAGAAAAAGGGGAGCTCCGCTTCCAACTCTGATGAGCAAGTTTGCTACAGATGTTCCTGCACGCTGTAGGATAATCCCCAGGGTCAATATACACTTCAGAACAGTGGGAGGGGCCAGATAAAGAGTTAAGGTTTAGTGATACTGGCTAAGCAGGACTAGCAGTGCTTAAAAATGGGCAAGTGTGAAGTGAAAGTAGAAGGCAAAGGATGATAAATCTACCCAATATGCACAAAGTCAACAAACAGGTCAATAATGGGTCAATGACCCGCTCACCAGCTTCCCCTGATCTGTTACAGCAGGCATATTCAGAGATTCCCATTTGGAGTGGGTTTTGATTCCAAGAGGCTTCCTATAGTGATCTGATGAATGGTGAACCCAAAACAGTCCTTCAGCGTCTCTGGCTCAGCCTTGCATGGCAGCAGTATCAGACAGCTGATCTGGATTGTATGCTTCGGCTCCCTGGCAGCACAGATGACAAGCCTCTGAGTGGGATGACAGCCACCAGCTGCAAACATATTCTCTGTCTTAGTCCTGTGATCTGCAGCTAAATCTGTACAAATCATTACTAATCCAGTAATACACTATCTCACCCTGCTCTGCACATGCTCAGTCATTCTCTATTTTTTGGCACTATGCCAAAATGTAGAGGCTGATCTACTGACAGCCTAAAGATTTACTGCTGCTCAGGGCTTTGGCAAAATGGCAGCCTCCAGCAAGAAGAAAAAGAACAATGCTGGAGGCAATTTACAGCACATACTTATTTTGGTAAAATAATTATTAATGTGGAAAGTATGCTCCTTGCATAAGAGAATTATATTTTATTAAGTTGTTATGGGTAAAGTTCTGATTGAAGTACCACAGGTCATTCTGCCCCTTGAACGACTGGGTGAGGAACTTGAAGATCCTGGGAAAGCGTCAAGATGAGGACATCGAGGAGGAGGCTGCTACTGAGAAAAATCTGGTTAACAGAGACAGCTGCTACTAAGAAGATACATGTTGCTAGATTCTGCTTAACCGCTTCCCGACCACCCTATAGCAGAAATACTGCTACAGGGTGGCACGGGTGCACAAAATCACGTATAGATACGCGATTTTGCATTTCCGGGTAAGGAGCGTGTGCAAGTCATGTGCATGCCCTACCCATGCCGCGGCTGTCAATCACCAGGTCCCGGCTGGTGATTACTCGCCGGTGCCCGGTGATTACCGAGGATCTCCAACGGGGAGGAAAACTGTTTTGTTTACTAACAGTTCTCCTCCCTGTCAGCTCGAGCACACTGCTTTGGATGGCTGTGCACAGGACTTTGTGAGAGTTCACACAAAGGGGACCTAGTGCTACTTAAAGTACTATTGCTACTGATCTTTAAAGCGGAGTTGCACCCAAAAGCGGAAGCTCCGCTTGTTTGCCTCCTCCTCCCGCCACTGCCATATTTGGCACTTTTTGAGTGGGAGCAGGTACCTGGTTTTGACAGGTTCCAGCTCCTACTTCCGGTTCAGTTCACTGCGGTGAAGTGTGCTGGAAGTTCGGCCCCCCTCCTTCCTCCTGAAGTCTTCTGGGACAGTTGACCAATCAGGATGCACAGCACGACTTGTGCATGCACAGTGGGCACCTGGCTGTAAAGCCACAAGCAGTCACAACATGGTGCCCACAGTTGAGATACCGGCGCCAGGGAGAGAAGAGAGAGCGAAGGGACGACACAGGTGAGAACATTGCTGGACCCTGACACAGGTGAGTGTGTGTTTATTAAAAGTCAGCAGCTACAGTTTTTGTAGCTGCTGACTTTTAATAAACACAAAAATGACTGAAACTCCACTTTAAAGGGACCAATACCACTCGGCTGGAGTAACTTCCAGGATCCATGATTTAAAATGCAGGAAATTTATCCTCAAACTGTTCTTTTCTAGTCATGTTGGGCATCCCTTAACCCCTAATTCCGATCCACATTTTCCCTAAATAAAACAAGCCCCTGGACTAGATTGACGACTATGTGTCTTTTCTGAAAATGCATGTTGCCTGACTGCACAAGGAGACCCAAAATCCAGCAGCTTCTTAGGGGGTAGTGCTACAGGTCTGCATGGAATTTTTTCACTAATGTTTTTTTTTTTATTTAGGGTCATTTGGTTCAATGTCTTTTTATACACTGATATCATTAAAAAATATTGTATTTTAAACATTGTGGTCTCCATGTGATACCAAAAAAGTCTGCCTACAACGTTTTTTGGTGTGTCCTCCTGAAAAATAGCAGTGTGATTCCCGGTATATAAATGTGCCTAGGCACTCCTTTGGCCCAAGCCCAATCGCTGTATACCTGCTGTGTGCGGTCCAAGATACGTTTGCCTCTGACTGCTAGTCTTAGGTTAATTGGAGTGAGAAGATTTGGTAGAAATTTAGGACAGCGCGGTTGTGAGTGAATCACAACACTATGTGCGCTAATATATGCATATCTTTTGTATAAATTTCAAGTGTGTATTTAGTCATTTTGCTGGAACTGCCCTTTAATTCAAGAAAAATGGAAATTCTACAATGCTTTGACCCTCCTTTATAGTAACACTAGTGGTGCCTGCAGCACACCTCCTCAAACTCTGTCTGTAGGCCTAGATGTAAAATGGATGCCCAACGTGACCATTCGTGTTTAGGAATATAAATTTCTTGTAGGTGGCTAAGTCAACTTTGCACGTCTGTCTTCCTTCCACCATTTATCAATGGACAAGGATGTAAAGAACACCAAAAATGGAGGACTAAATAACCTAAAGATTCAATATTTCTGCTTTATTTGGTAAAACAGAAATAAAAAAGGTGCCAGTGTGATTAAGGGGATGAAAATAAACCCAATCAGGATTGCTACAACATTATGAGTCTTGCAAGAATAGCTTGTGTGGCAAACTCTAGATCTCAAACTACCTGTGTCTAGGAAGCCTTTCATTTCCTTAAAGCTGAACTCCAGTCAACCATAACTTTTTAGTAGTTTGCACCCCTGGATATCAAGGGTTAAACCTGTGTTTAGTTTAGAGAGGTGTGCTATACAGCATTAGAATTCTGATTTTTTTTTCCTCAATTTCCCACCAGAAATATGGGTGGGCTGTCAATTTCCGGTCCTGTATTGTACATGCTGTCAGAGAAGGGGAAGCTGCACAACCAGGGAAAAGGTAAGGCTTCATGGAACAAGCTGTTCAGCAGGGGAAAAGCTTGCAGGAGCAAGGAATTAGATAAGTATTCCACAGCTTTACACCCACCCTAGGCTAAACCTGGCAAAGGAAGGGGGGGGTGGGGGGTTGGGGCACAAACTACTTAAGCTAGATTGCTTTGAGAAGCAATGATCTCTGAATATGTACGTACTGTGAAGTAAATCATCCTTAAACATCACAACAGACAATTGGTTTCTGAACTCTTACAGCACCTGCTTTTTCTGTACATTAGAAGGCTAGCAGGCTGCCAAGTCCTTCTACCACAGGAAGACAGCTGTAATTGCAGTGCCTCTAATGTTGTGTGCCTACAGCTACAGAGGCCAAGAATGACTGATTTTAAAGCTCCTTTAATGATTGTTTAAAATATGTAAACAACTTTAATGTCCATAGTCAGGTCACAGGTCCACTTTAAGATAAAATCAAATGAGCGGCTTTGTATGAACAAAAGTGTTAAAAGGCCTCTTGAAGAAGCTTGCTTCTTGATCAAATTGGTCTCCACCTATCCTCCAGACCAAGTAGACTGATTATCAAATTCAATCCTCAAACGTGCAGGTGTCTGTTTTTGGAGGACTTATGGTTAGAAGGCATTTCTCCTTCCTTCCTTAGTTTTGTCTTTGGTTATTTAGCAAGTCCATGTCTTTTTATCCCAGAAGTCCAACCATACATTTTGTAAATTCTCTCTCTCATAATGGTGAACTATGACAACACTGCAAAAAACGTGTGGGGGATTATAATCAATCTTTTCTCCATGAAACATGTTTTTTGGTGACCTGGTGGGTGGAATGTTCAGTCTATACAAACACAATCCTATATAGGCATCTTCAATGTTAATAATAGGGATTCCCTGAGCCACCTGATAGATCTTTGTTGCCATGTCCCCTGAGAACACATAACCAGGACCAGAAGGGTAAGGTGGATAGGTGTCTCCAGGGTAAAGTTCCTCTGGTACGTACCATTTGCTCATTTTGTCTCTTATAGGTCCCGTATAACAGACTAGAAATCCAGTCAAATAATTTTGACGAGCTGGAAGTTCCGGGTGTAAAAGATGATGGACGAGGTAGTTCACATTGAGAAACACATCATTGTCTAGCTTCATTACATAGCTGGCATTGGGACAGAATTTTGCTACCCACTCCATCCCCATTAGGATTTTTAGAGTTAAATTAGTATAAGTGTCATGAAAGTCTTGTTGTACAATGTCGCCATACCTAGCATTCTCCTCCTCTAGCAGTCTTTGTACAGCACTTGTCATTACAGGTGGCTGCCCAACCAGGAAAAGTCTTATGATAGCAATGTCTTTGTAGTTGCTTAGATCCCCCCAAGTTTCACGTATTATGTTTCTAGATATCATATCGTTGCTCTCAGCAGTCACCAAGAGGACCAAGAATGGAGTCCAGCCCTGGCATTTTCTCTGGCTGGTTAATCAAGAATTTATATGGGTAAGGGTATGGAGGAGCCATGGGATGGCCAGTGGTGGAAGATGAAGAGTTCAAGATAATAATCCTGTGAGAGAAGGAATGCAGAGTCCAGCTGTGGTAAAACCAGTGCAAACTGTCCAAGATGGCACTTTGTCCTTGATATAGAGCAAAGAAACACAATAATGTAACAGCCACAACTAGTTTTGTAAGTCGGCAAGCATTTAGTCTCCTCATCATGATGGGATCTAGAAAAAAAACAAAAGAAAAACAAAAAATAAATGTTAAACAGAATCAAAATGTACAGTCAGGTCCATAAATATTGGGACATCGACACAATTCTATCATTTTTGGCTCTATACACCACCACAATAGATTTGAAATGAAACAAACAAGATGTGCTTTAACTGCAGACTGTCAGCTTTAATTTGAGGGTATTTACATCCAAATCAGGTGAACGGTGTAGGAATTACAACAGTTTGCATATGTGCCTCCCACTTGTTAAGAGACCAAAAGTAATGGGACAATTGGCTTCTCAGCTGTTCCATGGCCAGGGTGTGTGTTATTCCCTCATTATCCCAATTACAATGAGCAGATAAAAGGTCCAGAGTTCATTTCAAGTGTGCTATTTGCATTTGAAATCTGTTGCTGTCAACTCTCAAGATGAGATCCAAAGAGCTGTCACTATCAGTGAAGCAAGCCATCATTAGGCTGAAAAAACAAAACAAACCCATCAGAGAGATAGCAAAAACATTAGGCGTGGCCAAAACAACTGTTTGGAACATTCTTAAAAAGAAGGATCGCACCGGTGAGCTCAGCAACACCAAAAGACCCGGAAGACCACAGAAAACAACTGTGGTGGATGACCAAAGAATTCTTTCCCTGGTGAAGAAAACACCCTTCACAACAGTTGGCCAGATCAAGAACACTCTCCAGGAGGTAGGTGTATGTGTGTCAAAGTCAACAATCAAGAGAACACTTCACCAGAGTGAATACAGAGGGTTCACCACAAGATGTAAACCATTGGTGAGCCTCAAAAACAGGAAGGCCAGATTAGAGTTTGCCAAATGACATCTAAAAAAGCCTTCACAGTTCTGGAACAATATCCTATGGACAGATGAGACCAAGATCAACTTGTACCAGAGTGATGGGAAGAGAAGAGTATGGAGAAGGAAAGGAACTGCTCATGATCCTAAGCATACCACCTCATCAGTGAAGCAATGGTGGTGTTAGTGTCATGGCGTGGGCATGGATGGCTGCCAATGGAACTGGTTCTTTTGTATTTATTGATGATGTGACTGCTGACAAAAGCAGCAGGATGAATTCTTAAGTGTTTTCGGGCAATATTATCTGCTCATATTCAGCCAAATGCTTCAGAACTCATTGGACGCCGCTTCACAGTGCAGATGGACAATGACCCAAAGCATACTGCAAAAGCAACCAATGAGAGTTTTTTAAGGGAAAGAAGTGGAATGTTATGCAATGGCCAAGTCAATCACCTGACCTGAATCTGATTGAGCATGCATTTCACTTGCTGAAGACAAAAAACTGAAGGGAAATATGCCCCAAGAACAAGCAGGAACTGAAGACAGTTGCAGTAGAGGCCTGGCAGAGCATCACCAGGGATGAAACCCAGCGTCTGGTGATGTCTATGCGTTCCAGACTTCAGGCTGTAATTGACTGCAAAGGATTTGCAACCAAGTATTTAAAAAGTGAAAGTTTGATTTATGATTATTATTCTGTCCCATTACTTTTTGGTCCCTTAACAAGTGGGAGGCACATATGCAAACTGTTGTGTAATTCCTACAGCGTTCACCTAATTTGGATGTAAATAATTAAAGCTGACAGTCTGCAGTTAAAGCACATCTTGTTTGTTTCATTTCAAATACATTGTGGTGGGTGTATACAGCCAAAAATGTTAGAATTGTGTCGATGTCCCCAATATTTAGGGACCTGACTGTATGTGTGTCACATGTCCCCATTCACATAGCATAAGAAAAAAAAATGAAATCCTGCAGTTTACCTTTTTTAGATGTACTATTCTGGACCCTCCTCAGTACTGTATAATTCTACTTAGTTTTCTTTGCTTATGCGAGAAGGCCAGGCAGATATTTTTGCCTTTATTAACCCTGACTACTGTGCAGGCAAATCTTCAGTATCAATTGTAACTAAAAAAGTGAAATTGCCTGTGAGCCACTGGAATATATTATATATATAGAATAAAAACTATATATAAATATATAATATATATATATATATATATATAATGTGAAAACTATATATTGCTACAAAGTGAGTTCGCTGGCTCCTCTTTACATTCTCATATATGTGTATTAGAACAAAATAAATACATATGTGGTGCCGAGCCCTCTATGTGAACAAGTGTCTAAGTGTTGGTAGCAGTATTGATCAAACAATAAAAAATATATATCAAATTGCAATAATAAATATGGGATTTTCAAATATATCAAACAGAATATTCAGCTAATAGAAGTCCAGCCAAGTTTAAGTCTCTTCATGAGATTATTATACTCAAAAGTAAAAATACTCACACTTTGCAATCAGTCTGTAAAAGTAAGGTCCGGAGGGAGGGGCACCGACATTACCACGTACCTGACTCCTTTGAACGGCGAGTATAGGCAGTGTGTGTCCAAATGCCGCTCAGGCTGGTCACACCGCTATTTCACTGGTATCTTCCTAAGTTTTAAACAATGTGAGTGCATACTAAGGCACAAATAAAGATTTATGGTTTTATCGAGGATAAGGCACTATCCCTTTCTCTTTATTCCCGGTATATATGCGGAGAGATGGAATATACAGCATAAGGAAGGGAGGATCCATATCCCATACTCGCTCACAGCAGTACATCCAGGAAAGGAAAGCCCAAAGAAGGGAAGTATCTACATCCCATACATACTCACAGTAACATTTAAAGAGTGAAGAGATGATTAATCCACTCAGCTCTCTACAGAGTGTTACATCAGGGTAACCCTTTGCTCTTCTAACTAACACTTACTTTTACAGACTGATTGCAAAGTGTGAGTATTTTTACTTTGAGTATATTAATCTCATGAAGAGACTTTAAACTTGGCTGGACTTACTTCTATTAGCTGAATATCTGTTGATATATTTGAAAATCCCATATTTATTATTGCAATTTGATTTATATTTTTTATTGTTTGATCAATACTGCTACCAACACTTAGACACCTGTTCACATAGAGGGCGCGGCATCACATATTTATTTATTTTATCGATTGTAACTAGATTTGAACTCTGCCTTTCTTAAGAAAGGGTTAAAGGTTTAGTTGCTGGGTTTCTCCACTATATTTTAAATGAGAGGGAGTTCACCCTGTCCTTAGGACAGACTCAATATGATCCTGTTCGACAATCCTTTAAGTCATACATGAGACCTTCTTCTGTGAAACATCTAAAAGTTAAGAAATATTTAAAAAAATATATGTATAAATGGTAAAGTAAATGGTAAAGTTGCACTTAGGCCAACCAGAGCAGCTGCACCAAAACTAGTCTGAACACTGGACCTGATAAATAATCTCTATAAAACAGGTGTGCTTGTCTCTTTAAATGATTAATAGCACAATTTCATATGGATAAAAACAATTAATTTAAATATACATGAGATCAATACTCAAATAATCAGTGTAACCCAAACGTGTATGTAGGAATTGTAAGATCGCCTGAACAGCACTTTTTTTCTTCTCCAGCTACTTTTAAGAAATCTGCTATTCACCACCTGCCCCACTAGAGGTGTTGTTTACCTCCTTCAGTGTCCGTGTGGTCTGCAATATGTGGGGAAGAGCACATGGGCACTGAGTGTAAAAACTGGAGAGCATCTTACCAATATCCGTAATGGATTCAGGGGACATAGTCTCTCTAAGTATTATTTGCAATGTCACAATAAAGGATCCTGCTCCACTGAAATTGATAGCAATTGAAAAATATTGCACTCATTGGTGGGGTAGTAACCTCAGCAGACAAATACTTCAATTAGAGACTTGTGGGATATTTGATCTAAAAATGTTTTCAAGATCTTATCAGTATTGCTGACAGGTTTATTCAATTTAAATTCATACATCATCTTCACTATACCCCGACCTGGCTGGCTCATATGAGCTTTGGATCGGCATCCTCATGTCCCGTTGTGTCCTTGAGGGTGCTGGTCTGTTGCACAATTTTTGGCCCTGTCCGGACCTTGCTTCATACTGACAGGAACTCTGTTTTTTTTTTATGTAACCTTGAATTTGCCAGTGCCACATACCCCAGACGTTGGCCTGTTGGGTATATTGAATGATTTTGTCCTACACACTCACTCTAAGATATTGCTATGTTTGCTTCTGTTTTATGGTAGAAAACTTGTTTTGCTGAATTGGAAGAATGATACTCCGCCCTCTATATACCAATTTTATCACATGGTTATTCTGGTACTGCCCCAATATAAGCTGATCTATAAAGGACGGGGCCTGTCCCAAAAAATTTACAAAAATTTGGCAGGCTTGGCTAGATATAGCAGATTGTCACAGGGTTCTATGGTTTGAGTGGCCGGATTTTACATGCTACTGATTTCCTCTGATTTGTAATGGAGTTGATGGTGCGGGTGTTTGTGCTTGTTTGTGACTGTTGTATGTGTTTGGCTGCTTTTGTATGTTCTGACTGCTTATCTGTTATGTTATGTTGTCTCGTGATTATCCTTTGTCATATGTATTGGGTTTCTTGCCTACGATAGTTTGATGTTTGGTATCTCCTTTTCTGTATTATGTTTCCTTATTCTTGGATATTTTAGTCTTAAGTCCTGTTATTATTTGTCTCTTCCTTGTTCTGTTTTTTTGTTTGTGTTTCATAAAGCAAAATAAACACCTTTTAAATAAAAAATAACTTGATCAGAGTCTACTGAACTATGAAGCTTCTCCTATTTCTT